AGGTTGGTATAATGAAATCGGTTCATAATATAATAATGTTCATATGAAAAGGTTTCATAATGATGAAACGGGTGCATAATATATTAGTATGCATAATGAAAAAGGTTTCATTATAATGAAACGGGTGCATAATATATTTTATTCTTTATGCAATTAATGTTTATATGAGAATATTTCATTATAAAATAGTTTATTTGCTTATTTTATTAATATTGTACATGTTCATGCACTCGTTTCATGATGATGAAACATATTCATATGAATGGAAATATTTAAAGATTTTAATATATTATAATATTAAAAATTGATTTTTTTTATTAAATGAATCTGGAAAGGAGTTACAAAATGTTAACTTTGTTTACCAATTTTGTCCTTAGTATTGAAATAAAATAAATATTTATTATTTTTTAATTTTTAATTTTTAATTTCCTAAAATAAAGTAAACTAATCTTAGCCATTGATCAAGAATATGGATGGATGAGATTGGTTTACACGGTTTACACAAATGGGGCAAGTTTTTATTTGAACGCTCCTCTATATATATATATATAGGGTTGGGTTCACGTGAGACCAAAAGTTTTTCTTGAGACCCGTAAGACCAATTTATGTTCATTGAACAACTTTATAAGCTAATGATCTAATGGTCTAAAGTTGCACGGTGACAATTTTGTGATTATGAATGTTCAGATTGTAAATCTAATCCAAGAGTTGAGAATTGGTCTTATGGGTCTCACGAAAAATCATTGATCTCACATGATCCCAAGTATATATATATATATATATATATATATACACACACACACTAGAAGAGTACTCGCGCAATACAGCGAGACAAATCTCGATTTTAATGTTCTATTTATTATGTGTCTTTGTAGATGTTATAATACGATTTTATGTGTTTTTAAGAAAGTAATAATGGTTTTATTTTTGAATAAAATATAAATTTGAAAATATAATAAAATTTTGAAAAAAAATATATCGATGTTAATATCCAATCAACTATTTAAAAGTTTTCATATTTTATGTAATTTTTTTAATTTATTTTTTATTATAATTTAATTTAAGTTTAATAATGAAATAATTTATTTTTGGTTTAATAATATAACATTTTATAAAGATAATAATTAAGTATTCTGTTAGAACTCAATAATTATCCTAATTATATTTTAGATTTTTTATATTTAAAATGAGATGTTTATCTTGAATTTGATTGTGTTTATCTGCAGTTAGTTACACGAATTCAGATATGGAGCTTTAATAAGTTGTATATACGCACAATTTACTTTTAATCTTGAGTTTTAAGTAATATACATTAATAAACAGTACTTTACGCATAAAAAATGGTTTTTAAGAGTTTTTGTCAAATGATTTATAATATAGAATATATTTTTTTATATATAGAAAAGTACCCGCGCAATGCAACGGGATA